CCTCATGCCCACCCCCTGTGCCCACTCCAGCCTCCTTTAGGAAGCTCTCTGCACTCTGGCTTGGCCAGCCTGCTCCCGCCCCCTTTCCTCCTACCTCTCTGGCAATTGCCCCATCTTGAGGGCTCCTAACCCTCCTTCACCTCCCCCCCGCCCAATTCTGAAGATCTGCTCCCTTCCCCAAGACTCCAATGTCACTTCCTGGGGGCTTGTCTTCCCACCTCTTAGCCCTCTACCCCTGCACACCCTCTGCTGTGCCCAGTCCTCATGGGCAGCCCCTTCCCCCATCTCCATGCCCAATGCCTCTGCCCAGTGAGGGTCCCTTTGTGTCTCACCCTGCACATTGCTCTTGGCCTTCGTCTCCCCTGTCTGTCCTTAGTTCTGGGCATCCAGAAGGGTCTTAGCCCACCCTGTCTGGCTTTGGCCTTTGGTCAGCCTGCAAGATGGAGACCTGCCCTCTTTGGCCTGTCCTGCTGCTTCTCCAGTCGCATCACCTCCCCTTCCCACACTCTGCCCTCCAGTAGCTCACCTGCTTTGTCCATCGTCACACATTCCCACATCTTTGCCTTTGCCATGGTCTTTCCACCTGGGAGCCCTCAACCCCCACCCCCCACATAACACCTACTCATCCAAGAGCCAGCTCAGGTCATCGCCACCTCCAGGAAGCAGAGCCTCCTCTAACCCCCTCTGTTATAGATACTTCCTACCATCTCTCAGTGTAGAGAGAAGACGACTGCAGGCAGGGAAATTCTGGGCTCAACTGTGCTCCATGGCACAGACCTGGCACTCAGTGGCACTCTTTAAGTGTTGATCCCGTTTATTGTGCTGCTTCTGATGTAGGCACTATAACTGAATCTCTGAAACCTTGAGAATGCTATTACCAGTCTCAGTTTCCTCATCTGCACACTGAGGGCATACGGGTCCTTCTGCTCAACATGGTTGGTAGTGGCCACAGGTATATTTGAAAGCCCCCACTTGGTAATGGGCCTTAGATTCTGCCATAGAGCTTCTTATTTGGGAGGGAGGGAGTTAAGCATTGTCCTCTTCAGGCTCTTGTAAGAGATAATCCCTTCCCTTCAACCTCATTGGAAACTGGGCTTTGGAGCCTGTAAAATGGGTGTAATCCCATGAACATACTTTTTGTACCCAGTGCCCCAGGGCTATTATAAGAATAATTTTTTTAAAAAAAATCATTGATGGTGCACACCTGTAATCCCAGTGACTCTGGAAGCTGAGGCAGGAGGATCTCAAGTTCAAAGCCAGCCTCAGCAACTTAGCAAGGCCCTAAGCAACTCAGCAAGACCCTGTCTTTAAATAAAATATTTTAAAAGGCTGGGGATGTGGCTCAGTGGTTAAGTGCCACCGGGTTCAATCCCTGGTACAAAAAAAAAATCATTCAAAAGGGCTCATTCAAAAGGGAGGCACCTAGGAGCCAGCTCATCTCATGTCCCATCACTCTAGAGTAACCTTGAAGGAAGTGATTTTCCCATCCCACATGAGGACAGCAGGCTCAGAGGACAGCTGCCACCTTTTCAGAGCCAAAGAAGTGGTATCAGTGTGGCAAAGGCTGCTAGCACTCAGTGGCCACTGACCAGCTTAAATTGGGGCCTCTGCCATTTCTCCTCTCAGCAAGCTCTGAGGGTTGGGGTCCTGGTCATGGGGGTGTCAGTGGGTAAGGTAGGTGCAGTGGGTGCTCCAGGATCAGGCATGATGGCTTTGGATTTTAGGGTCATTAACCCTGCCTCAGCCTCCCAAGCAGCTGGGATTACAGGTGTGTGCCACCGCTCCCAGCTCCCTCATGTTCGTTTCATTTCACAATGTGCCAGCCCAGAGAGAAGTCAGCCGCACCCCCAGCAGACTGACATCTGGGGAAGAAAGGGAGCAGACGGCTCAGTGGGCTGGACCACAGGGAGAATCTGGGACATGGTGTCCTGTGTGATCTCAAGGCTAAGCTGTGACGCAGAGCATGGCCCTGAAGGCCAACCTGGCTCCAGGCTGTAGGGAGAGGTCAGGGCTGCCCTGTGGGCTGTGGCCTCCCAACTCAGCTGGGTTGCCCAAGATCCTCTGCTCAGCTGAGGAGGATGGGCCAGGCAGGGTAGTGAGCCAAGGCCAAGGGGCCACTCTCCAGCAGGCTCCATCTGGCTGAGGGGGAGCTCCCCCCGCCAGAAGCCCAGCTCTTACTCTGTCACTTCCTTTCTTGCTCTGGGTCTCAACTTTCTTCATCTGTCAAAGGGGTGTTAATTATTACACAGCTCTGCTTAACCAACCCCCCACCCCCACCCCAGACTGGAGTTGGAGAACAGTGGGCTCTTAGAGAGGACACTTCCCTGAATGAATCAGACTCAAGGGGTGGGCCAAGAGGCTGGCAGCCCTTCCTCCCGGGACTCTGCCATCCGTACACAACACACACACCAAGTTCTGGATGGGAGCATCTCAATTTCCTTCATGCTCATTTTTTTTTTGATACGGGGGATTGAATTCGGGGGCACTTAACCATTGAGGCATGTCCTCACTCCTTTTTTTTCATATTTATTTTTTAGTTGTAGTTGGACACAATACCTTTATTTTATTTATTTATTTTTATGTGGTGCTGAGGATCGAACCCAAGGCCTCGCACGTGCGAGGTGAGCGCTCTACCGTTGAGCCACAGCCCCAGCACCCCAAAAAATACTTTTTGTATTTTATCTAGAGACAGGATCTCATTGAGTTGCTCAAGACCTCACTAGGTTGCTGAGGCGGGCTTTGAACTCAGTATCCTCCTGCCTCAGCCTCCCAAGCAGCTCGGATTATAGGTGTGTGCCACCACTCCCAGCTCCCTCATGTTCTTTTCATTTCACAACAGAGAATAGCCATCTCTGTGTTGGCACAATTAATTTTAGGCCATTCTTTGTGATTACTGCCTATAGAATAGAAGCTAAGCAGACCTAAGCTGAACTGCAATGAGCATCCTTGAACAGCGTGTGTGTGTGTGTGTGTGTGAAGGAGAAAACCCTAAAATCCAAGAAACCTATTTGGATGCTGTTGTAATTGTCCAGAGCAGACATGATAAGAGGTTGGACCAGACCTGGGAAAGAATGGAGGAGAGTGATTTCTTTTGCTGAAATGTGATGGGCCTTCTCCAGCCAGTGTACTGGGCCTCCAAACCCCTGTCAGTCATGAGCTGCCATAAACTGAAGACTTAGATCTCAGCAGAGGAGTGGGCACAGGAGGATGGGGAGCAAGGGTCTGACTAAACATCCATAAAACCAAAAGGGGATGGGATAAGAACAGTACCTCCAAATGAGAGATGGCTGGACAGGGACCAAGCCAGGGGCTTCGCACACCGACTCCAAGGCTCACAGCAAAGCCAGGTATCTCTCATATGAGGACTCTCAAGCTCAGGAAGTTCTGAGCTACACAATCTGTCAGTAGCCATATTGGGCTTCCAATCTGGACCTGGCCACAAATTTTGTCTGTGTGCAGTCCCTGGGCTGAACATCCGGGTTAACATGCTGACTGGGGACACCAGATGGGCAGATCTAGAGAAGCCAAGACCTGGAATACAGCAGGAGCAGGTGCTAGGGAGATAGACCCAGCACTCATAACAGTTAGAGGGAGTCCGGCCAGAAAGCTAGACAGTAGCAGGTGACAAGTGGTGTCTGATGATCCCCTGTGTCTGAGGACTCCTCCCCCAGAAGACAGTGGCCTCCAGCAGCAGGTGGAAGGCAATGGCTGGGAAGCCAGGCCATATCCCCAAGCAGCAGGGGGCCCAGGTGGGAGTTGGGGAAAATCTGCTTGCTGGGGGTTTGGGAGCCTGCAGGCCCATAAGCTCCCACCCCATGGGCAAGGCCTCCTATAGCTTCAGGAAGCCCACAGGCCACCAGGGCTCAGCAAACTTCCCTTCCCAACCCAGTTCTACTTCCTCTATCTGGACACTTCTGGTTTTATGCATTTAGATTTTGTGCTTCTTAGGTTTAAGAATCTCCATAGTTTTTAAAATAAATAATAGTAAGTAAGCAATTTCTGATTATAAAGCAAATATATACAAATATATCTTATTAATTTTTCATGTGCATATTTGGGCAGACATGAAAGTATTTCCAAATTGGGATCAGAAAAATAATTCTTGTTTATAGCTTGATTTTATCACTTCTCATTATAGCGGGAGGTATTCATGGGTGGGAGCCTCATGGCAGGGTTGCACAGTGCTTAAGAGCAGACTCAAGGGCCAACAGGCCTGGATTTCAGATGCTGGCTCAGCCATACATTCGTTTTATCACTGAGCAGGTTATTTACCTTTCTGAGCCTTGATTTTCTCACTGGTAACAGTATGCCTCATAGGCTTACATGAGGGAGGCCACATAAAACACTTAGAAGGAGACCTAGAACATAGTAGATGCTCAACAAACCTCAGATATGAGGGTTATTGTTATTTCTGACCTCTTAACTGTGTCTGCTTCCTGGCCTCACATCTTGTAGCTGGATTTTGACCTTGACCCTGACCTCATCTGAGTCTTCCAGTCCTGCCTTGTGTCCCTTCCTGAATGCTAGGCTAGTTGGGGAGCTGGTGTCAGGGTTAGTTCCGAAGTAGCACTTAGTGTGATTTCTAAGAGGCTCTTCCCTGGGGTCAGCAATATAAGGGGAAAGGAAGAGGGAGGAGGCAAAGGAGTGGTTATTATTTGGCCAGACTCTGGAAACATGACCCTGATCCTTTCAAGTCTGCTGCCCATTGGCTTTCTCATCTGGTGTCTGAGCCTTGGGTTTCTCCCTGAGCTGGCATCACAGGAATTGATGTGGCCCCTGGGAAAGCACATTAGTGCAGCATCCCTAATGCAGCCAGAAAGGATAGGGAGCAAGTCATAACCAGCCCCCAAGGGAGATGCTAAAAACTTGGAGTCGCAGGTTGGGGCTCATGTGGCTCATGGGCCTTGAAATTGCCCCACTGACTCCCAAATAAAGGCATATATGTGGGGTGGAAGCTTCTGTGGGGCCGGAGACTCAGATCTAGACTCTGGCATCCACAGGAGATGAACAGCTACCAGCGGGCCATGCAGAAGATGGCAGAGGACATCCTGTTACTGCGCAAACAGGCCAGCAACTTAGAGTGGGAGAACCGGAGGCTGAGAAGCCACCTGACCCAGCAGGAAGTAGAAGAGGGGCAGACCAAAGATGAAGCCTCAGACCTGGGTGAGGATGTACAGGCCACTAAAGGCATCCAGAATCCTGTCTGGGCCAAGGCTCTGGATTGGAGATAGGGTGGTGGGAAGTTTTTCCCAGATACGCATGCAGCTGGACTTGAGCTAGCAAGACTGCCCCGCACACGCCACCCACAGACACTCAAAGGGTCCCTGCCCAGCTGGTCTTCTCGGGGGGTGGGAGATGGAGTATCCAGTCTGGTTGCAAGCCCCCAATTATGCTGATCTGAGCTAAGAGAGGCTCCACCCTGAGCCAGCTCCCTGCCCGTCCCAGCAATGTCTGTGAAGGAGAAGCTGCTGCTGAAGGAGCTGGACATGAGGAAGCTGAGGGACAAAGTGCAGCATCTGCAGAACGAGCTGATCCGGGTGAGCTTAGGCTTTCGGAGCAGAGCAGGAGGGAGTTGGGTGGCAGCATCAGGAGACATGTCCTGAGCAGAAGATGCGTTGAGGGAAGAATGACCAGTCCACAGAGGATTCAGCAGGGGGCTGGGTGGACCCCCTCTGCCAAGAGTGACTCCCAGGCACCCATTCTCCCCCTTCCCTCCCTGCACAGAAAAATGATAGAGAGAAGGAGTTGCTCCTCCTGTGCCAGGCTCAGAATCTCCAGGACGCGAAGCTGAGGCGGTACCAGGACAAGCTGATAAAGATGAAGGCGCTGGAAGAGACTGTGAGGCACCAGGAGAAGGCAGGTGCAGGGGTTGCCAGCTGAGGGCCTTCAGATGGGAAGGTGTGGCACCCCCAGGCTAGCCCAGCCTCCGTGCTCTGCCTGCCAGGTGATCCAGAAGATGGAGCAGGTACTAGAGGACAGGCTACGGGACAGAAAAGAAACCCCACCACCCAACAAGCTGCAGAAGAAACCCAACCCTGGTAAGTCTGCACCCCTAAGTGGATGTGAGTGAATTGACTCCCCAGATTTTGCCCCACCCCTGGAGCTCCTCCTTCAAAGTCCCCTGAGCTTAAGGAGAATCTGCAAAGAGAGACCATGCTCGGTTGTGTCCGTGGGCCTGAGATACCCAGGATGAAGTCCCCCCCCTGCCGCTCACTCAGGTACTGGGCACTTCCAGAATGCCCTGAGCTATCTCCTCCTGCCAGGGAGCCTCTTAGGGCAAGACAGGACACTGTGTGAGTCAGGCCATCGATGGGAGAATCCTTGCTAACTAGGAGCACTAGGACTTCCCCCAAAGAGGGCTCCCTGGGACATCAGTTCCCAACTCCTTAACCTCAAAACCCTTTGAATTATTTCCCCATCTCTCCACATCCTCAAAGATTCTGCCTCTGCAAAGCAAATAAACAAAAAGACTTTGAGAATCCATGATCTCTTTTCCCCACTGGTGCTAATCAGAGCCACAAATCAGAGATGGCTCTGATGAATAAGAAAGAATGAGGTGACTCCATATCAGACCTGTCCAAAGCAAGAGATTACCCCGTACTGCCTCTGTAGACTCCCAGGACAGAATGGAACAAAACGCTGGGACATGGAGGCAAGACAGCCCATCTCACGAACACCTGTGTCCCATGTTCACAGCCTTCCCTTTGCTCTCAGGTCCTGGCCTTCCCCTGAGTTCTACAAGAGAGAACCTGCCTATTGATGTTTATTCAGTGCTACTGTCAGAAAACACAAGGCTACGGGAAGAGCTGGAAAAGAACCGCCACCAGACGGGCCCCATCATTCTACAGCAGCAGGCCCTGCCGGTAAGAGCCACCAGTACAGGCTTGGCCATGACCCACTTGCGCCAGTCACCAGGTGTCCGGTAGTCACCCACAGCACTGTCACAAGTTGATGATTAAGACCAGGAGGCTAGGCTTCCCACTTTGCGCATGATCCTGGCATATTCTGGAACGTGAGCTCTCAGGCCTTGCTCTTTTTTCTCCTGGGAATGCATGTATCTGAAAACTTCTACCATACCTACATCCTGGGAGAAAGCAAGCCCCTGACCGATCCCTAACTCCTTTTGCGACATGGCTTGCTTCCACTGATCCCAGTATTTCCTGGGATTGGTGCAACCTTGGAGAGTCCTTTTCCCCATCCCAGGTGGATCCTGGGGAGTTGGGAGCAGGTGGAAACTTGGCAGAGAGGCTGCGAGAGACAGATGGCCCAGGCCACTCCAAGTGCACAGAGACCTTGCCCGCACAGGTGGGTGTCCCAGGGCCTAGAGATGCCTAGTCCCCCTCCACTTCCCAGGTGGTTCCAGGTGTTCCCCACTGAAAATGGAATTATAGTCAGGGTGGGGTGCACACAGGAGAGTGATTCTCTTCATCCCAGGACTTGCAGGAGGTGAGTTCTATTTGGGAACCCTGATGCACAGACATTCAGGTAAAGTGTGGGGGTTGGGGAGCCCTCCCTTCACAGATGTTTTCCCCCTATCAAAAGATTCCCTGCTGAACTGTCTTCTGTGCATTCATGGGAGCCGCTTGATTCATTTCACACTTGAAAATTGATTCGTAATAACTTCAGATGCCCCAAATCATGGAAGAAATAGCTATGAAAAAAAGCACACACCCAGCCTATGCTGAACTTCAGGAGGAGGGTCGGGTCCAGGGGCCCACGTCTGAGGCTCTGTGTGGGGAGCTGGTTGGAACTCAAACCTGGCTGGATTCTCCTTCAGTGCCTTGCTGCTTCCTGAGCTCACCTCACAAGCTGGGGCCTTGATGAGTTTTTTGCTTTGCCCATAGGATCTTCTTGCCAGTAATTCAGATAAATTTAATCTCCTGGCTAAGCTGGAACGGGCTCAGAGCCGGATCTTGTCCCTGGAAAGCCAGGTGGGTGAGGTGCAGGGGTTGATGAGGCTACGCAGGCTCTCTGATCAGTGTGTGGCCAGGATGAGTGCTCAGTGTGTGGCCAGGATCTAGGGTCAGTATATGACCAGCATCAGAGCCCAGTGTGCAGCCATGGTCAGAGTGAAGGCCCAGTGTGAACCCCAAGTCAGGACTCACTCAGTATGTTGTTGGGATACAGAGAAGGTATCTGTCCCTCTCGCTGTCCCTTCTACCCCTGAAGTCTCTTTCCCAGAGCTTGGCTTTCTGCTCAGAGAAAATGCTCGGGGTCTGGCTGTCCTGGGTCTCAAGGATAGGCCCTACTGCCCACTGGTTCTCCAGCTGCCCTCTTCATGTCTGCAGTTAGAGGACTCAGCTCGACGCTGGGGGCGAGAAAAACAGGACTTGGCCACACGGCTACAGGAGCAAGAACACGGCTTTGGGCCCCCCTCAGAACCTATCATCGTAAACCAGCCTGTAAGTGACCCCTTCAGAGGAGCTCGTGGGGGCTCAAGTGTAGACCAGCTCCTGGGCTGAGCGTCAGAAGTCCTGGGCTAAAGTTCCTGCTCTGTTCCCAACAGAAGCCCTTGTGTGGCCTCAGTTTCCCCATCTGTCTAGGGGAATAGAAACCCCAGCCAAAACTACCCCTTCCCCAACAGATTGTTGTGAAATTCAAGGAGGAGATGACTAGGGATAAGGAGCAGCCCATGTGGGCATTTCTGCAATATCCTGGCACTGCCAATACTCTAGGACTGTTTTGTTTTGTTTTTGTGGTACCAGGGATTTAGCCCAAGGGCACTTTATCACTGAACTACATTCTCAGCCCTTTTTAAAGTTTTATTTTGAGATGGGAGTCTCGCTAAGTTGCTGAGGCTGGCCTCAAACTTATGATCCTCCTGCTTCAGCCTCCTGAGTCACTGAGATTACAGGCTGTGTCCCCATACCTGGTTGTCTAGGACTGGTTTTGCTCATGGACAGAGTACCTTGTACCCCTACACCCACCCAATTCCCAGTCCCAAGGTTCTTCCTCCCATCAGCCACCCTTTTGGAGTAATCATAATGCTGCTGTAGGCTCCCAAGGCCTACTCACAGATGTCCCTCAAGCTTAGCTCTAGGGACACTGGCCCCCAAAACCAAGATCCTGATTTCTTCTGCTCTTGAACCATATGTTCTTTGCTCCTGGCTGAGGCTCCACAGCTCCTGAGAAGGACCTGAGAATGGGACTGACAGGGAACACAGGACCACCTTTGAAACTCACCTGAGCCCTGCAGACTTAGGTGTTCCATGCTGTGATCAAATGGGTCTAGAAATCTTTGGGAAGTCACAGCCCACTGGGTTTTGGATCCTTGCCTTATCAGGCAAGATGCCCTAGAACAGATTACCCCTGGGGATAGAAGTATACTCACTGGACGTGCTTTGCCTACCACAGAATGGCTCAACCAACTCCAGGGATCTCAGGCGGCCCTCTAAGCTGGAGACTGCACAGCCCAACCAAGACAAGCAGCTCAACAGGCCCTCGAACCACCAGAATATCTCCAACTCCCAGCAGGCCTGAGCCTTCCCGCATGCTGAGGAGTCTCACCCCACCCCTCAAAGATGACTTTATTAAATGTTGTACCTCAGTGAGCTTTCGCCTCTTTCCTGAAGCAAGGTAGCCTGGGGCCTCCACTTCTTCCTCCCAGACCCCACTCTGGCCCTAAGCCCTCCCTCTGCGGCAGCCATATAACCTCCAGCCTGATGTAGGAGCTGGCATCTTCAGAAAGCCAAAGGCCATAATGAACCCCGGAGGGTGGTGAGAAGAAACACCAGGGAGGTAGGACCCTCCTGAACTGCCAGAGGAAGTGAGGCCACTGGAAACCAGCTCTGTTTGCAGACAAGAGGAAGACAGGGACTTCCCACCTGCCCAAGTATCTATTCTGTCAGAAATCCTTTTTTTTTTTTTTTTTTTCTTTTTTTGAGTTTGGTTCATCAGATGCTTAGGGAAGGGGAAAAACTTGAAGTCCTCCTGTCAACTAGGGCGAGACTGAGCTGGCTAGATTATGTCCAAATGCAGCCAGAGATGGGAAAGCATACAGGACTCAGGAAGGAGTCCTCATAGAGTCAACAGGCCCAGGTTCTGGCCACAAGCATTTTGGGTAATCTTGGATGACTTGAACCTCTCAGAACTTCAGTTTCTTCATCTATCTCAGGCAGATCTGGACATCTTTGGTGGTGAGGCCATTTCCAACACTGACATTTTTATGAGTTAAATATGACTCCAGCCCAGAGAAGAGAAAGGAATCAAGAAGGAGACAAATAGCCAAGAGGGAAGAGGTGGGAAAGACAAAAAGACTATAAGTGTGGACCCGAAAGTACAGTTTATTGTCTACCTGAGGTGGGTCAAGAAGGGGAGGAGGTGGGGTAGAGAGGAGGGGCTCAACTGAGCAGGAGCAGTGGACCACTGGGACCCAAAGCCACCTGTCTGAAAGGAGCAGGGTGGGAACAGAGGACTAGAGATGCAGACACCCTGTACCCGCCACCGGGCCATCCCACTGCATGACTGCTGGCCTGGTTGGTGGGAGGGCAGTTCCACCTTGATCATCCCAGAACTGGGTTCTGTTTGAAGGGCAAGAAGGTGAATAAGATGGGCTTCTCAGGCATCAAGATGAGGTTGAACTTGGTACCCACATCGCTGAGATGTTGGATTTTAATTTTGAAGTTCTCCAGCACCTGAGAAAGGGAGCAGTGGGCTTAGGGGAAGTGGGGGGAGTTCTGTCTCCCCTGGGCCCAGCTTGTTCACCTGCCAGCAGGGCCTTTGAGTGTGATTGAGGCACTCTAAGAGTGGACAACCAGCTCCACATTTAACCCCGCACTGTGTCCAAAATGAACCACTGGTGCTGATCCCTGGATTTAGACCTTGACTAGTTGACAATATTCCCTCTCTTGTTCCCACCCCCATCACATCACCTGAGGGGAAATAGATGGCCAGGGGACACTGGTAGGTGATAAATGGGTTAGCTCAAAAGAGGAGGCCAAAGGGAATTGTGGGAAACAGATGTGCCCCAGCTGTATGATCTCTGGACTCTGTGCAGAGATGAGAAGAGTAGGGCTGGTGACTACCTGAGGGCCAGGGCTAGCCCAGGGACCCAGATGTCCTCAAGCTCAACTCACGTGAATGAGGAATATGGTCATCTCCAGCTCTGCAATCCGGCGGCCCAGACACTGCCGAATACCCCAGCCAAAGCCAAGGTACCGGAAGTAGGTGTTGTTCTTGTCATTGTCCAGCCATCGGTTTGGGTTGAAATTGCCAGGGTTGGTGAAGAAGCTGGATTCTTGGCCCATAGCATAATTGGCCACCTGAACCAGTGTCTGGGGATGAGGTGGTCAGAGGCCTGAGTGGGTCTCACCTTCCCACAGTCCTGAGCACAACACCCAGCTTCCCCAAGTCCCTGAGCTCCATCCTCTCCATCCCCCCTCTCAATCCCCGCAGGGCTTCCCAGCTCACCCAGGGCAGAACATTCTGCCCATGTGTATGACCTTAACCAAGGCCCAGCCCCTCCCTGAACTTCATCCACCAAATGAGGACAGCTAAAACCTCAAGGCTAAGATAACCCAGAGAATTTTCCTGCCCCTTCCCCAGCCCCAGTGCTTTCCACCGACCCAGGCAGACTGAGGTCTATCTCCTAACCCTGAACTCCAGAACATTTCAGTAATCATTCCCCATGGTGCCTAACAACTCTGTTCTTCATTCAAACTTGGACTGTTGCTGCTGAGAGCTCTGCAGGGCCCCAGGGCAAGGCAGAAAGGCAGGACAAAAGCCCCCAATCACCACTATCTGTCTGGAATTGCAGCCTGACCCCAGCCTCCTCTGTCTGACTAGCAGAGCCGGTAACTCCCTGGTTGTACCTACCTTGGCAGGAATTATGTAGCCACGAAGAACCAAGTCATTTTCAAGATATCTCTGCACAGTCACAGAGATGGGGTGGAGTCTGTGAGGAAGAGGACACTCAGAACGGATGGCCACAAAACCTGGACATAGGTCATCCCCACCCCGATTTCTGCATCAGCATGGCATCTCAGACCCAGATGCAGCTCCCAGGGCATCTGAGACAGGACTCAGGTCCTGTCAGGGCTGGTGACTACCTGAGGGCCAGGGATAGCTCAACTCACATTATCTCCTCCCCATTCCCAGCCTCTCACCTCCTACTTCTAATTGCCTCTCCCACCCCATCCTTGGAAGCCTTTTCCCAAGCCCTGCTCCAGCCCTGCCCAGGAGTGGGGTGGGGGAGGTAGGAGTGGACATGGGCTTACCTCAGTGTCTCCTTGATACTGGCTTTGAGGAGTGGGACCAACTGCAGCATTGTGTTTATGTCTCCCTGGGCCTGGCGCCGGGCAGCCAGAACCTCTGCCCTCAGCATCTCCTGCACTTTTGGGGTACGTGCCATCTCGTACATGTGCCACTGCAAGGTCATGGATGTCTGGCAGGGAATGTGGGGGTGCAGAAGACCAGAGGGCCTGTCACTCCAAGGCATCTCAAGGTGGAGGACCCAAGCTAAATTATCGTTTATAAGAACCTCTCCCCCGATAACTACCTCGTCCCAGTCTCCACACCACCTGCAAAAGTGGAGGGCCACAAAAGTGGATGGCCCAACAATTTGAAAGGTAAATATCTAAGAAGGCCTTCTTGCCACCCAGGCAGGAATGTTTGGGGCAGCACTTGTCCTTGCCCTCATCCCTCATGTCACCCATCGTCTCCCCAGCCAGAAGAGTGTCAGCTGTACTACTGATGTCTTTCTCCACAGAAATCTGGGGGCCTCTAGAAGCCAAATCCTACCTCCAAAAGTGTTATGCTCCCAAATGACTGCAATTCCTGTTCACATGCCCCGTGGCACAACCACCCCTCCCCAGCCTAGTTTCAAGTAAGGCTCAAAGTCAGACCTCAGACCCACACTCAGAGTTGTGATTAGCATGTGGAACAAATGGAGATTAACCAGTTAATTTCAACATAAACTAGAGAAGAGTGAACATTGATCTTCAAACCCCACAGTCCCAGATTCCTCTATGATGACAAACTAAGCCCAGTTAGGATCCCACCTTGAACATCCTCCTCCTGTGACTAGAACTTGGATTGTTGGTGTAGGATCTTACCAAGGATCAAGTTTCTGTCCACAAGGCTTGGAGACCTTTCTCTTCTCAGCAGGGACCACATTGGAAAAAGTGGCACTCAGTGCCTTCTCGGCCTTAAATCCTGGTATAGTTCCCTGGAGCCTCCAGGAGAAGTACAGAGGCTCCGGCCTGACCCACGTGGCCCCTTCAACACCTACCTGCTCTCCTCTAGCGCCACCACCACCACCCCGCTCTCATACACACCTGGCCCTCCAGCCACACAGAATTGCACACAGCTCCTGAAGCCCAGAAATCTCCCAAGCTAGTTCCTCTTACTGGAATTCCCTTCCCCACCCAAGAAGCAAGTGTCCACTCCTTCAAGACCCCAACCACACGTGTGGGGGGTTTGTCTCTGGACCTCCATGGCCTGCCACAGAGTGGGTGGGTACTTGGAAGATTCTTGGCTGATAAGGTAGTTAAATAAGTTAGTAGCTGTGTGACCTTGGTCAAGTTATTTAATCTCTCTATGCCCCAGTTTCCTCATCTAAAAAAGGAGGAGGAGAATAACATAGCTCATAGTGTCCCTTGCTAGTATTAAAGGAGGGAATGTGTGTAAAAGTTTGGGACACTGCCTGCCAGATAATATGTGCTTCATAAATGGTTCCTCATCTTTGGTGCAGATTTTCACCTTTTAGAGATTTCCTCTACATCACCCACAATGAACTATTTTTCAAATGCACGCCAAGTCTCCATCTACAGCCTGTCATAGGTACCAAAACTTCTCCACCGGAGTATCATATAAAAATAATAACTAAGAAAGAAAGTTATTAACCCATGGGACTTTGATACATGCCCCTTGCTAGTCCTGAAATGAAATTTCTTCTCTCTCTTCCTACAAGGGACTTCAAGATACAAGTTGAATTTTAGCTCCTCTCCCTGTCCTACAGGGATATGCCTCTGGCATCACGGCCCTGTAACATGGGTGACAGATATCTGATGGCATCTCTGCCTTTCTGCTATCAGCTGCACTGTGTGCCTCTAAAATTCACATTTCAGGACATGGTGGCTCCTGCATGTAATCCCAGAGACTCAGGAGGCTGAGCAAAAAGATCACAAGTTTGAGGCCAGTCTCATCAACTTAGGAAGACCTAGGCTCAAAATTTTAAAAATTAAATTAAAAAATTAGGGATGTTGCTCAGTGGCAGAGCACCCGTGGGTTCAATCACCAGTACTGCAAAAAAATAAAATTCACATATCAATATCCTAACCTCTACACCATTGCACTTGAAGATAGGACCTTTAAAAAGGTAATAAGAATAGAAGATCATCCATGTGGGCCCTAGTCCATAATGTCTGGTGTCCTTCTAGGATGAGGAGGTTAGGACACAAACATGCACAAGAGGGAAGGTCAGGTGCAGACAGAGGGAAGAGACAGCCATCTTCGAGTCAAGGAGAAAGGCCAATGAATGGATCAATCCTACCTGCACCTTGATCTTGGACCTCCAGCCTCCAGAACTGAGAGAATCACCTTCCATTGAAAT